TGGGAACTGCAGTCCAAGAACACCTGAGTGACCGACCCAAGGTTGGGAAGGCTGTTCTAAGAGTTCAGACGGCTGCGCCCGCAGAGCCGGTCTCCGGGCATCCATCCTTTGCTCTGAAGTTTTCCAATGTCCCTTTCACTTTGAAGGCCCCAACTTTTTCTTCCTCCCTCACGCACGCCGTGAAGAGGTTAGTGAGGCAACCCGGGCCGGAGCCGGGCAGTCTCCAGCCCCAAAGGGTGTTCGTCCCGCTCCGCTCGGCGCAGGTGACGCGCCTGGCCCCTTTTACCTGCTCATGCGCCCCGGGGTCTGCCATGCTGCTCGCGCCAACCCAGATGCCGGCCGGCCGGCCAGCCAGCCGCCGCGGCTTCACTCTTTCCTGGACTCCATTCCTGAGCGCGGGAACTCTACGCGCCGCCCGTCCGCGCAAGCCGCCGGCTGGAGCTGCGGGGCGCTGCTCGACTCTGCCTCCGGCCGCTACCTCTCCCTCCTCGAGCGGTTCCACCACCACCACCACTCCCGCCGCCACCGGGAAAGGAGGAGGTGGAGGGAGGTGGCTGGTCCAGCGGCAGCTGCCGGCTCCTGTCCGGGCGAGGAGAAGGGAGGGAGGGCGGCAGATGCCGCGACGCCAGCCTGAGCCTATTTAACCTGGCCAGCCCGCTGGTCATCATAATAAATGAGGAGACCCAAACGCGCGCCACGGCGGGAGGCTTGCTCTCCTCCCTTCTCCCGCCCACAGTCCCCCCGAGGGAGCGTGAGGCGAGAAACCTATGGAAGGCGGAGTCAGGGAAGGGAGAGAGAGTGGGAGAGAGAGTGTGTATGAGGGGGGGGGGGTCGGCCGCGAACGTCTCCAACTTTTCCCGTCTGGGCTGAGGCGATGCGTCGTGAGGGCGCCTTCGCCGCTGCAGGCGAGAAAAATGCGTCCTCTGGCTCTTGCCTTAGAAGAAATTTCTCCTAAAAATAAGAAAGCGGGTCCTCAGGCTACACGTGTATGCTTGCTCGGCTAATTTTCCAGTGGCAGGGAGGCTCCTTGAGACCATTACATGATAATCTAATTCGTAAAGTATAGATCTCGGCTGAAATCCAGCAGCTAGAGAAGACCCACTGAATCAAGAGGGGTGTGGTGAGTCAGCTCTCTGTACAGTAGGTGCCGTTGATTCCGTGGGTCTCCGCTATTGCTGCCGGATTTCGGAAATTGTATTACAGTACTTATTTTGAAGTCAGGAAGTAATGAGTAGTAACCATCAGGGTACCCTCAAGGCATCGGTCTCTTCTGATTTTGGAAACTAAGCCGGGTCAGACTTCTTGGTTAGGATGGGAGACCAACTGCAAGAAATCTTTTGGTAGGGCCAGGAAACAGAATCCCAGCTGAAATCCTTAAGAACAGCTGCTGGTCAGAGTTGGTAATATTGAACCAGATGGGCTAACAAGTTGACTCAGTATAGAGCAGTTTTCAGGAAAGTGGTGGTAGCAGCCAAACAAAAGAGGAACAAATGTATTTCAGTGTGACCTTTCATGGATTATAAACCATGTCTTCAGACACATAGACTCACATCCTGGTGATGTGGATTGTAATCTATGAAAGCTCATACTGAATCTGTTTTGGCTTTCTTTTTGTTGCTCCTGAAATGTGCTTACATAGGTACTCTCTGAAAACTAGTCACTGGACTAGTTCACTGGAATAGGATCATGTAACTTATTTCTTACTAGAAATTACATTTCTCCCTTGAATTGAATGGGTCTGAGCAGTATGGTTTTGGTTACACATGGACTTTTTCAATAAATAAAATATTTCAATAAATAATTATTAAATAAATAAATTCGACCACTAGAGGGGGATATTTTGTTTCTTTTTTTCTTAGGTCAAGAAAGGTTCAGGGAAGGCAGGGAAAATACAGTCCAGGCAGTCCAGTACCAGGCAGTCCGAAGACTGTCTCCCAATCCACTCTCTAAACGCTGGGAGGAGTGAGGAAGCAGACAGGCACCCTTTTCACTGGCCAACAGTTAACTGAAAGTTCAAATTTTGCACTTTCCCTGCCTCCCACGTGGTTTTTTTCAGTTCTTAACTCAAATCTAAGTATGTAAGTCAAGTCAATATTTTCCTATGAGAGCGGTTCTTAAGTCAAAATGTTCTTAACTCAAGCCGTTCTTAAGTCAAGACCCCACTGTATTCCATAAATACCATGTCTTTGGCCACCTGAAACCAGGGGCATGTTCAGCACTGAAGGTGTTGAAGTTGTCTACTTGCCCCCCCAACACAACATTTCTAATTCAGCCCCTAGGCTGAATTAAGAACCTTTAAGGCGCATTACACATTGTATTGTATGGAAAGGATTGTTAGTGCTGTGGAAGAGAACCCCCATAGAGAGAACTGTTCTGAATGTGTGTGAGAGCAAATCAGCTGTTGATGCTTTGTAGTTACATATGAATAAGAGTTATACAGTATACAGATATTGAACTACATGGGGGGGGGTTCTGGTGCCTTACATATGAATAAGAGTTATACAGTATACAGATATTGAACTACATGGGGGGGGGGGTTCTGGTGCCCCTAACCTTGATGTTATTGAATGGAGAGGTATATTTAAGAACAATCACTGTAGAAATGTCCTGTAAGGTATATATTTTATTCACTTTCAACAAGCTTTTGACATCCAGGTAAAGGTTAAATAAAATCTTTCAAATCTTTGTGCAGTAAAAATTGTCTCTTTGGAGTTTATTAAAAGAATCCATCAAAATGAATCCAGTCCTTATACAAAGAAAATATTTAACTGCTTATATTGATTCCATTTGAGATCTTGTCAGTAGTAATCGAGAAGTTCAAGTTGCATGCAAAGCATTCATGCTTTCTTTGGCCTCCAGTAGAATTTACTTCCAATCAATAATATCTACCAATGTGGCATTACATTTATCTGGGAATGCAGATGCTTCTCTCTCTCTCTCGTTAGATGATGAATGAACTGCCATCGTAATCTCAGTTTTTAAGAGATTAGAGAAATCCTGAAGAGGAAGCCAAATAAGTACTCAATCTATTTAAAGGCTTTCTTAATAAATAGAGTGTTCACTCATAGCTTTCAAGTCCCAGCGTAGCTTTTCCTAGTATCTAGATATAGTGAAATAGTTCTCAATGCTATGCAAAAAAGTTCAGAGCACTTCTGCTTTGAAATGTCTTTCTAGGTGCAAGGTACTGCTGTATGAGTTATTATATCCTACACAGAAATATATACTGTAGATAGACTTAATATCTCATTGTTCAGTATGGCCAATATTTCAGAATTTGATTTATATATCCCAAAGGTTCAGAAGAAGAAACTTTTCTGAATGTTAAAAAATAGGCTGTAAAACAGAGATGGAGAATTTGTGGTTCTCCAGAATGTAACTCCTACAACCTCTCACTATTACCCATTCCCTAGTGGGGTTGACGGGGGTTCAGAGTACAGCAACAGCTGGAGGCTCACCATTTCCCCACTCCTGTTGCAAGGGCTGTAGTCTTATATAGGTCTTCTCTCATAAAAGAATGCATAGGATTGCAACCAGTTGAAAACTCACACTGTCAGTTTCATTGCAATATGTTTACCAACATCTGCCTTCCTACATGTTCTGCATAACTGGAAGGGACCCCATGAGTTATTGAGTTCAGGCTCCTACAAAAGGGAATTGAACTCTTAACCTGTGGCTCTGCAGCCTGATACTTAAAGCACTGAGCGAGACAGCAATATGTTGTTGTTTTGATTTATAGGCTGATCTGTAGTGCTAGAACACTCTATGGGTGGTTTACATGAGTCGTGAGTTTATACGAGTTGTGCAAACTACTACTTGCAAATTACTACTTGCCGCCCCCCCCTAGCTGGGTACTCATTTTACTGACCTCGGAAAGATGGAAGACTGAATCAACCTTGAGCTGGCTACCTGAACCCATCAGGATTGAATTCAGGTTGTGAGCAGGGACTTGGCTCCAGTGCTGCAATTTAACCACTGTGCCATGGGGCTTTGGTCCATTGTGTTATTTGTTTTGTTTTTTACAATTTACGAACAGGTACATTATCATTTTACAACTATGACACTGATCTGGAGTGAAGATACACTGAACGATGGTTACTATATTCAGATCCTTATAATCCTTAGTTAAATTGTTGACTAAGCAGCTTATGATTTTAAAATAACATTTGTGGCGGGACATATCGTTAAATGGGCAGTCCAATCATATTAATCTGCTTTAGCTGTGGCAGAGCAAATACTGGCTTGTTTCACTACATCACTACTGGGTGACTGGACAGGTCCACACAACCGATTCACAACCAGGTAGCCGCTGTTAATCCCAGATAATATAATTTTAATTTATTCACTTTATTATTCAGTTGTTTTGTCCAGGTATGATTAGTTTCTTTCTTTTTCATTTCGTATGATTAATCATGCAATCAAGCATAAGATTTGTTGTTGCCTTAATACAAAAATAGATACCCAGTGTCGTGTAGTGCACTGGTCCCCAACTTTTGGCCTCCAGATGTTCTTGATCTTCAGCTCCCAGAAATCCTGGCCAGCAGCGGTGGTGGTGAAGGCTTCTGGGATTTGTAGTCCAAGAACATCTGGAGGCCCAAGGTTGGGGACCACTAGGATTGAGGAGGTCTTGGTTGTCCCATTTATCGAAAAAATCTGAAGAATGGTGACTGGTCCCAAGTAGAAAGTTTTCTTGAAGAGAAGCTAGGCTACCCCATCCCACAGCATTGTACAGAAAAAGATCATTTTATTCACACAGGCTTTGGGCAGTTGAATGGGTGCTGAGGAAATACTGGGAAAAAGTTGTCTTATTTCCAAGCTCATTCAAGGCAACGCCTTGAATGTGAGTTGTAGCAGCTTCATTTTGTTATGTCTAAGTAAAATATATTACACTGGTTTGTTCAATGTGATACTTTTTCATTGCTTCTGTGAGTGGATTAGCTTCGTAACAAGTAGAAAATGTATCATTAATGGGGCATCTTTGGGACTCCAAATAGTGTGTGCATCTTGTTTGCTTCTCTGCTTGGAGATGCAAACACCTTCTACAGGCCGCCCTCAATGATATTATTTATAGCAGAAATGTCTCTATATTTCATTAAGATTATAGGAACTCCTTGTTACTGGCTCATGTCATGAAAGGAGCATGCTATTGCTAGTGATGGGACGTAGCATTGTGATGCAGCAGCAGAGTGATATACAATATAACATTAACTGTGTGGCAACCAGAAATCTGTTTCCCATGAAATCATAACTCCAAAGCAGACGTGTCCCATAGCGGCAACAGAAAATCTCCCTTGGGAAAAGATGGTGGGCAGCTGACAAAACATGGAACCAACATGGTGATGTAGCAAGAATGTAACTTCCCTGCATCTTCTGCAATGCCAGTATGCAACTGAAATGCTAACTCATATCCACAGCAGAAGAACACCACACTATTAATCCAATGGAGGTGGGAGAAAAGTGGTCACAAGTAAATAAGGAGGAGGCGTTGATTTGCAAACATCAGTAATAATTGTATTCTTTGGCTCTGGAAAAGGAAATCCATTACCAGGGAGCACAGGATGTCAACCACAACAAGCAGGAGAAGCTCACAAGGAGCAGAAATGAGAATAAGGAGAATGACCTTGCGACATCAGTCATTCATCACAAAATACACCCATGGTTGAAATGCAATTGAAATGGTGCAGGAAGGAAATTA